ATCCCCATCGACCAAAAGCTATGAGAATTGGGGCTGGAATGAGGACCAAGAAATGGGCAAAACTGCCTCTCTTCTCTCTTCTTGGAGCTTTACGATCTGAGGGAAGGGGCAATACAGGGAAAATCCATGTGAACTGCATTGGCAGTTGGTTGAGTATAATTGTTGTATCTAGTGCTGAGATTAGTAAGCAGGGTAGGCAGCAGATACTCTGTTATCCATAAAATTTTTTACCCAGAAGCAAAATCTTTCCAAAAAGAAAGAAATCTTCCAGATAACTTACAGCTCAAGGCCACTGGCGGTATCAGCTACCTAAATCCACAATATATAGCAGTTCTCAGATGGTAGAATGGAACAACTCAGGAAGTGGCTTCACCCAGTGGCCTACCTATGGCGTGTCGTACTTGTCTAGATCATGTCACAATAAAGATGAAGGCCTGTGTGCTCCTGTGCACATGTGGTTAACTATACTGATAAATCAGGAATTTCATTGGTTGCTCCTTACCAGGGCTTTTTTTGTAGAAAAAGCCCAGCAGGAACTCATTAGCATAATAGGCCACACCCAACAGCAGGAACTCATTAGCATATTAGGCCACACCCCTGTCAGCACAACTCATTGGCATATTAGGCCACACCCCCATGTTACCAGAAGTGTGCTCATCCAGCCACACCCACCTTTTGCTTCTTATTCTGTTTACCCAGGGCTTTTTTGTAGCAGGAACTCCTTTGTTAGGCCACACACCCCTAATGTAGCCAATCCTAATGAGCTTCTGCTGTTGGGTGTGGCCTATTATGCTAATGAGTTCCTGCTGGGTGTGGCCAACTTGGAAGCCAGCCGGAACTCTGTTCCTGTGCGTTCCTACCCAAAAATAGCCCTGCTCCTTACATTAAGCCATGCAGGTTTCCATTGGCCTGCTTCATGTGAACCAAATAGCACTGGAATCTGGCCCACTTGCCCCCATCTCCTTTGCCTACCTCCTCCTCCTGTCAGCATTAGTGTGTTATACTTGGATTTGACCTGCCTTTTTAAACTTCCACCCTGGGTATCACAATGCAACGTCTTGACAACTTTACATCCACAATCTGGCAAAGGGTAAATATTTTATTTACTTAAAACATTTTTTAGCTGCCTTTTTTCCTTACGGAGCTCAAAGTAGCATACAGTTTAAATAAAGCATATAACATAGAGTCCGTAAAAATACATAACACCAACATTTAAAACCACAATTTAGCACTGCTTTAATCACATGCAGTCCTAAATAGAACAGTCTTCAGCTGCCTCCTAAAGATCGTCTGGTTTGCTGATGGACCACCTTGACCATGGTGGACGTTGCCAGGATCCAGGGTTTGGTGGATCCTCGCCCATCCTGCTTCCTAAAATCGTGTAGGGACCACATTAATGCGCCCTTGATGTACATCATAAATCAGTCACTAGTCCTTGGCATCTTCCCTCAGCAACTCAAAGAGGCAGCTATCCATCCACTGCTTAAAAAACCATCCCTACAGAAAAAATGATGCGGCCAGTTATCACCCAATCTCTAAACTGCCATTCCTGGGGAAAATAATTGAAGTGCAGTAACTCCAGACCTCCTTAAATAACACGAGTGGCCTGGAACCTTTTCAGACTTACAGGCCAGGGTAAGAAACAGAGACAGCCCTGGTAGCTTTCACTGATAATCTCCTCCTGAATACAGACAAACTTTGTCAGTACTATTGGATCTATCTAACATAAGAGACGCCAGTGTTGGATCAGGCCAAAGGCCCATCCAGTCCAACACGCTGTCACACAGTGGCCAAAAATACCAGGTGCCATCAGGAGGTCCACTAGTGGGGCCAGGACATTAGAAGCCCTCCCACTGTTGACCCCCCCCCCCAAGCACCAAGAAGACAGAGCATCACTTGCCCCAGAGTCCCTATCTATACCTTGTGGCTAATAGCCACTGATGGACCTCTGCTCCATATGCCTATCTAATTCCCTTTTGAAGCCGTCCATGCTTGTAGCCGCCACCACTTCCTGTGGCAGTGAATTCCAAGTGTTAATCACTCTTTGGGTGAAGAAGTACTTCCTTTTATCCGTTCTAACCCGACCGCTCAGCAATTCCATTGAGTGCCCACGAAGCAATCTGCAGCCTCTGATACAGTAGTAGATTATGCGATCCCACTAAGGCATTTGGAGGCAGAAGTAGATATCAGGAGCTGTGCCTTGGACTGGATCAAATAGCTCCTCCTGGATCAGACTCAAAGGTTTGCTGTCGGAGACCAGCTGTCTTCAGTGTAGGAGTCTTTTGGGGGTTCCTCAGGGCTCAGTCCTATCCCCCCCCCCATGTTACTCAACTTCTATGTAAAACCTTTAGGAGAAATGATTTGTAACTTTGGGGTTCGATTTCATCGATACGTGGATGGTGGTGGAACGTGCCGTCAAGTCACAGCCAACTTATGACAATGCCATCGGGTTTTCGAGACAAGAGGCATTCAGTGGTGATTTGCCACCGCCTGCCTCCACATTCTGACCCTGGTACTGCTTGGAGGTCTCCCATCCAAATACGAACAAGGGCCGGCTCTGCTTACCTTCCAAGATACGACAAGATTAGGCTAGCCTGAGCTATCCAGGTCAGCCCTGTAACTCTGTCCAAACTTCATGATGATATGGAAGACGTCTTGTGCCACTGCCTGATTGCTGTGGTCAAATGGCTGAAGGCCAGGCCCGTAGCCACGGTGGGGCTCCTGGGGGCAGATGCCCCCCCAAATCTGCCTTGCCCTCCCACCCCGAGTCCACCCTTACCTTAATCTCCTAGCCAGGAGTGAGGTGCTGGGGCAAGCCATTCTCCTTCGCTCTTGCTGCGCCGAGCCCACTAGTGCTTCTGCGCGCAGCAGCCGAATCCCGCCCGGCCCCTGAGCTCTCTGCCCTGGTGCCTGCAGAACGAGGTTGGGCCAGGAATCCTCAGACAGGCGTGGCTGCTGCACGCACAACAAGAGCCACGCCTGGCCTTCCGCAGCCCGGATGGGCTTTACCCGCCTCCAGCTCTCCAAAGCAGAGCCGGGAGGGGGCAGGAGGCTGGCTGCAAAGGCGCGGTGAGGGTCCAAGGCGGGCCATTATCACCTGGCCGCACAGGCGCTGGGGCAGGCTTTCCTGGTTGCCACCGCGACAACATCCTCTTGGCTTCCTTTCTCCCACTCAGCTCACCAAGTAGATCGCCGCCTGGTCAAGCCGGGGGGGGGGCTGCTTTCCCACCTCCCTGATC